TATTTGAACATGTACAGAAGAAATTGCATTTATTTTCAAGCTTCTAGATATCAGTGTTATTAATTCGTATACAATGACCTTCAGTAATTATACAAATTCGACATCAGTGACTCCTGTGTACCACGACTTGCAGCTTCACTAATAATCATTTTGCTGTTGACTTAATAATTTGCGAATCTTGGGGATCTGGTGACTTGTTATTGTTATATAATAGTGTATATTAGTATCGGAAGCTTTTTTTTTCATGATGAAAGTAAATGATTTACTTTCCGACCGTGAGCTGCGTAATAAGAGTAACGGTGAAATCCCACTATATGATTAAAGTAGCTTACGAGTTGACGGTGGGTGTTGTTGACTAGCTGCCTTCCTTGTAGTCTGTTACTACAAAATTAGAGACTGCTACCGGAGATAGCTCTCTTGTAGCTTTTTGCGAGATTCAACAAATAACCGAGTACGAGCCGAACTTTTTGACAAAGAACCGAGTACGAGCCGAACTTTTTGACAAAGAACCGAGTACGAGCCGAACTTTTTCTAAATTTCACTGGTAGGATTTCACTAGCTGTAAGTTACCTAAACTCTCAAAACAGTGGTGTATGATAATTCATTACACAATTTTGATATGATGAAAAAGTTTGTCTGAAAGTATGAAAGCATGTTAATTCGAATATATTATTGAAAAAGAAAAAAAAAAACTCATCCCTCTTTCTCCCCTTTCGTGGTGCCTCCTGACGGCCCCAGTAGCTCAATAGTAAGTCTGAAGGCTTATAACGCTATAAACCAGGTTTTGATGCCCGTTGTGGGCACAACACAGATGCCCCTTGTGTAGCTTTGCGCTTAAAAACAAAAAATAAAACAAGCCTTCTGACTTTTTCAACGATAAAATCTAACTCTGTGTTCTTATCTTTTTACCATCTTTCCGAGCTACATTTAGGTAAGAAATTTAAATGTCCACCAAGGCACGAGAACCTATTCAGTACTTAAATCCCATATCAGCTTGTTCTGTTTGTTGTGTTTACATATCTTAAATCCCATGTAAGCTTGTTCTGTTTGTTGTGTTTACATATCTTAAATCCCATATCAGCTTGTTCTGTTTGTTGTGTTTACATATCTTAAATCCCATATCAGCTTGTTCTGTTTGTTGTGTTTACATATCTTAAATCCCATATCAGCTTGTTCTGTTTGTTGTGTTTACATATCTTAAATCCCATATCAGCTTGTTCTGTTTGTTGTGTTTACATATCTTAAATCCCATATCAGCTTGTTCTGTTTGTTGTGTTTACATATCTTAAATCCCATGTAAGTTTGTTCTGTTTATTTTGTTTACATATCTTAAATCCCATATCAGCTTGTTCTGTTTGTTGTGTTCACATATCTTAAATCCCATGTAAGCTTGTTCTGTTTGTTGTGTTCACATATCTTAAATCCCATATCAGCTTGTTCTGTTTGTTGTGTTTACATATCTTAAATCCCATGTAAGTTTGTTCTGTTTATTTTGTTTACATATCTTAAATCCCATATCAGCTTGTTCCGTTTGTTGTGTTTACATATCTTAAATCCCATATCAGCTTGTTCTGTTTGTTGAGTTCACATATCTTAAATCCCATATCAGCTTGTTCTGTTTGTTGAGTTCACATATCTTAAATCCCATGTAAGCTTGTTCTGTTTGTTGTGTTTACATATCTCAAATCCCATGTAAGCTTGTTCTGTTTGTTGTGTTCACATATCTTAAATCCCATATCAGCTTGTTCTGTTTGTTGTGTTTACATATCTTAAATCCCATGTAAGCTTGTTCTGTTTGTTGTGTTTACATATCTTAAATCCCATGTAAGCGTGTTCTGTTTTTGTGTTCACATATCTTAAATCCCATGTAAGCTTGTTCTGTTTGTTGTGTTCACATATCTTAAATCCCATATCAGCTTGTTCTGTTTCTTGTGTTCACATATCTTAAATCCCATATCAGCTTGTTCTGTTTCTTGTGTTCACATATCTTAAATCACATTACTACTGCAGTGTAGATAAGGTTTCGGGATTTGGTATATTACACCCATTACTACTGCAGTGTAGATAAGGTTTCAGGATTTGGTATATTACACCCATTACTCCTGCAGTGTAGATAAGGTTTATGTCTAATTCTATTAAGAACTCGTGAATGAAAGTCAACGAGTGTTAAAACTTATCAACCACACTCCATCTGACATATCCATTGTTGACGAAGATTTTAACCCAATACTAGGACTCATCAGGGCGGCTGGGAGACGACAGACGTGTGTGTTTGTACAACAGCTGTTAGGTTGCGAATCACACTTAATCAAATGAACTGTAATTATTATTGTATTTAAGTTATTTATTAATCAGTCTTTTTGTTGGTAATAACACAACGGTTTTATTATTATTATTTAACATTTTTTCATTTGTATTTATTATTATGATTATTGTGTTATTTGAATTTAATTTTCCAATCATTCGCGAGAAAGGGTGAACGTGGCTGTTGACTGCATGACAACTTGCTACTGCTACAATTAGGTTATCAGATGGGCTATCTGCTATACCTACCACGTGTATCGAAACCCGTTTTTTAGCGTTATAAGCCTTCAGAATTTCCGCCGAGACACTGGGGGACGACGATCTGTCACCAACGTCTCCTTGCTAAAGTGAGCTTTTGAATGTTCTCGATACCTACAGGTATTTGGTGTGTACTAATTTATCGTCTCATTAGCTCGTATTATAACAGAAGGCGGGTCGCGGGTTCGAATCCCCGTCGCAACAAACATGGGGGTGTTATAATGTGACGGTTAATCCCACTATTCGTTGGTAAAAGACTAGTCCAAGAGTTGGCGGTGGGTGGTGATTACTAGCTGCCTTCTCTCTAGTCTTACACCCCTAAATTAGGGACGGCTATCGCAGATAGCCCTCGTGTAGTTTTGCGCGAAATTCATAACAAACCAATCATAACAGAAATTTATTTCAAAATCGGGTTACCAATCACAATGGGTTTACAGTATAACTCATAAAGAAAATTAAAGCAATTTATTTTCTTGGTGATTTACATTAAAAAGAAAACGAGCCATGTAATTAAGGTTATCATATTAGTAGAATAATTTCTATGCAAATTTACAGGACAAATTATCTGGGATTACAGATTATTCAAAGCATCCAGATACCGTAAAGACCAAGTACCTTTTTTCTTTGTATTACCATTTTTAAAAATAGATGGCGCTACACGTGTTGACAAGTCAGGGTTGAGTATGCATTTCGGAACTGTATATGATGTATGGGTGAAAAACGTGTTGAGTTGTTCATGCTACTGAACAAAAAAACTTTTTTGACATCTATGTTATTGTAATTAATCTCAGAATCATAACTACTGATCATCATTGTTCTCATTTAAAGCATCAACTTCATATCTCTAGTGGAGATAGTGGAAATTATAGGTAATTAATCTATGATTTTACTTATATATATACTTGTCACTAGGGAGCAGCACCGTCCGACCTTCCTTTGCTGTGTTTATCTTAAATTATTTAACATTTACTATTCAGAAATTTTTGGCCATTCAAACAATTTCACCCAGTTTCTTTTAACCATTACAAATAAGGTAAATTAGCAAATCAAGTTTTGACCAGTCATGATTTGGTTAAATTTGTTCATTTACTTGGTACCATCTAGAGCCAAGCATGGTCTTGTGGTTTGTTTGGCAAACTGCATATTATTAATCCAAGGTTCAAGTCATGATATTGCTAAAAACGCTTAACACTTGCATGCGTTTGTTTGTTTTGAATTTCGTGCAAAGCTACACGAGGGCTATCTGCGCTAGCCGTCCCTTATTTAGCAGTGTAAGACTAGAGGGAAGGCAGCTAGTCATCACCACCCACCGCCAACACTTGGGCTAGTATTTTACCAATGAAAAGTGAGATTAACCGTCACATTATAAAGCTGAAATGGCGAGCATGTTTGATGCGACGGGGATTCGAATCCGCGACCCTCAGAATGCGAATCGAGCGCCCTAACCACCTGGCCATGCTGCGCTCCACTTCCATCTGAGGGTGTGTGTTATAACTATAACATTCAATCCCGCTGTTTGATTAAGTGTAACCGAATAATAAGAAAGCGGGTGCTGCTGACTGCTGCTGCTGCCATCCATTTGGTTCGCAGTTTTAAATTCGTGTTGACAACACCTAAACTGCAGGTTCTTTGACCAGGCTGTGTATTCTTCAGGTTGAAAATGCCAATGGACAATATAAATATTTACGTAAGATATGTTTTCACGTTCAAAGAAACTAAGTTTAAACATGTGAAAAGCCACTTATGCCAAGTCTTATTTTTTAGAGTTATGTAAGAAGGCAAGAATAAATTGAGTTAAAGTTTGGTTAGCTAACACTAGATGGCAGCACAATACGGCTTAGATATTTAACAAAGAAACAAACAACAATAACAAAAAAAAAGGCTTAAAGATTGTTTCTCAGCATCCAAATTTATTTGGGGTATTTGCACAAATCTATTCAAGAGCCATCTGCGCTAGCTGGTCCCCTATTTTGAATATTTAGAATAGGAGGAAGTCATTTAGTCAACAACACCCACCGTTAACTCTTTGACTACACTTGTCTGATACTACAATGGATTTTATCCGTTTATTGATTTTATTCTCATAACGCAAACATGGCCCTAAAGTGTAGAGCGCAGTTTTTTGTTTTCTGCAACGAGACAGGACTATGGATCTGCAGGTCCATAGTCCAGCATGCCAACCATTGGGCTTTATTCAACCTCATCATTCAAATCTTAGTAACTTTCAAGTTATGGTAAGAGTATGGATTTATTAGCCGTCAAAATATATAATAATGGGTCTTTTATTATGTTAAAGATAAATCCAAAAGGTTAAAATTTGGGACAAAAAAAACTGTTGGAATATAATTATTAAACTGCAAGTATTTTGTTTATTTGATCACTGAAATTAAGTAATATAATTTCATATAATTTGATCATTCTTTTTTATGTTTTATTAGGTGAAACGTTGAAAAAAGGAATGGTGGTTTCTAAACAAAGAAGAAATATACGACTCGATGATACAGGTAGAGTAATAATAATATCATTACAAGAGTAACAACATACTTGTAAGAGCAATACTAGTCTTTACAGAGGGTGGTTTACAATCTCTAGTAACGATCTACAGCATATTCTGTTTTATTTGTTTTGTAATTAAGCACAAAGCTACACAATGTGCTATCTGTGCTCTGCCCACCACGAGTATCGAAACCCGGTTTCTAGCGTTGTAAGTCCGCAGACATACCGCTGTGCCACTGGGGGCGCATATTTTGTTATCTGACCATCCTCGTGGCCTATGAATACGCACATTAAAAGTCCAAGCCCTCTTGTTGTAAATTCAGTTGAACTGTGGCGATTTGTAAGTGCAGATGGTGCCTAAAATTCTCTTTTTAGAGGAGAGTTAAATTGCCGAATTTTCCACTCGATATTTTTTAACTCTTTGCTTTTGCGTCTAAGGTGCGAAATGTTAACGTTTCGAAAAAAAAGGATATTTGTAATGATGAAGCGTATTGTTATAGCAAGGGAAAGTGTGATTTCACCACGAATAAAATGGATACTCCACGACCGGCTGCAAGTTGCACACCAGGGGTAGTGAATAAAGTTAACTTGTTACCAGAAATATCGCGAGAACACAGCAATCCATTGCGGCTAAAGTAAGAACCTCTCTTGGAATTGTAAATAAGGCAATTCACAGAGATATTTGCCTAGAAAAGCGACACGAACTGTCTACAGGCTTCTTCCAAAGCACATAGGCAAATGAAAGATAATACGCATAAAACTTTGAGGAATATCTGGCATGTGACATATGAAAGTATGCCATTATATTGGACAAAACTTGTGTCTACTTGAGTGTCTGGAAAAGTCCTGGTAGTTTATTATTGTCCTGCTGATGATATAACATTTCAGAAATCACACAGAGAATGTCGTGGAAGTTTTTCTAAGAGATTTATGGTTGTAGGTTACAGTTATAATGGCATTAAACACCAAGAGATTGAATGAAATTCAGACATGAGTCTGTATAATGTTAGGCTAACGTATTAACATTACTATACCCCCCAAGAATTAGCATCCTTATGTGGATTGGCTTCCAATAAAGTGTAACTCCATCAAGATAAATCATCCAGCCAAACGTCTAGCCCAGAATTCTAGCTCCTCTAAACGATGTAATTCACGAATAAAAATTTATATTATACCTTTTAGAGACATCTCTTACGAGCATCTGTGCCTTTACCTTAGAAGTCCATGAACAGTTATGGACGTTGGAAAGCATGTAAAGATAAGAGAGAGCTGACATTCTTCATGTCCGTTGTTACTTGGTTCGTTTTCAAGCACTACAGCATTAACTTATAAGCAGAATGTAAACCTTGGTAGAGAGTGCATGGATAAAATAGCCCCCAAAGAATTAAAGAGCACGTCGACTTCTCCGTTCTCTGGGGGGGGGGGGGGAGAAGAGGACGACGAAAAGTCTACGGATTTACAATGCTAAAATCCTGGGTTCGTTTCCCCGCGGTGAACACAACAGATAGCCCCGTATGGCTTTGCTCTACAAACGAGTCCTACTTTAAACATATCATTGGTATGATCTTGTTTCCCATACGTAAATTGGACAGAACTGCATTTGACTTCCGGTGTTAATTAAAATTTATATAACGAAGCGTATTTAATATTTTCACAGTTATATTATCCAATGTAGGCATAGCAAATATCAAAAAGAGTAAAAACTTAGAAATCATGACTGACGGAACTTCTTTATAATTTTAATGGGTGTGTTCCAATAATACGATACAGATAACAAAGTTCATAGAAAGTTAATTTATAATTAGAGGGCGCTGATAGAAGAAGAACATATTTAATTGTTAAGACATTACTATTAAACCTTTAGAGAATTGTATATATTTATTATAATAAAATATCACCAGAGGGCATTACCAGTTCAGGACCTTTGCGCATAGAATATGCAATTATTTTGAGCTGTTAATCAGACTTTTCTGAAAGTTTATGGTTGAGTATAATGTCATATAAAGTTAAATTGCAAATGGTTAGAAGATGTTATCTAACAAGTTGCCATGGTTCTATAGCAGTGGTAGCTAAAAAAATTAGCTCACAGCTGATTGGTCACTACAAGTAATTATGTGGTTTATCTTAATACATTACGTTTGGCTGGTATTACCTTTGGCACAAAGTTATTTTACCGCCAAAAATACATTACGTTTGGCTGGTATTACCTTTGCCACAAAGTTATTTTACCACCAAAAATGCATTACGTTTGGCTGGTATTACCTTTGCCACAAAGTTATTTTACCACCAAAAATACATTACGTTTGGCTGGTATTACCTTTCCCACAAAGTTATTTTACCGCCAAAAATACACTACGTTTGACTGGTATTACCTTTGGCACAAAGTTATTTTACCACCAAAAATACATTACGTTTGGCTGGTATTACCTTTCCCACAAAGTTATTTTACCACCAAAAATACATTACGTTTAGTTGGTATTACCTTTCCCACAAAGTTATTTTACCGCCAAAAATACATTACGTTTGGCTGGTATTACCTTTCCCACAAAGTTATTTTACCACCAAAAATACACTACGTTTGACTGGTATTACTTTTGTCACAAAGTTATTTTACCGCCAAAAATACACTACGTTTGACTGGTATTACCTTTGGCACAAAGTTATTTTACCACCAAAAATACATTACGTTTGGCTGGTATTACCTTTGCCACAAAGTTATTTTACCACCAAAAATACATTACGTTTAGTTGGTATTACCTTTCCCACAAAGTTATTTTACCGCCAAAAATACATTACGTTTGGCTGGTATTACCTTTCCCACAAAGTTATTTTACCGCCAAAAATA